TGCCGGTTCTGGCTCTGGTTCAATCCTCGAGCGGTGTTTGTTTGCCCCTTCCATTTTCGAGAGACGCTTCTTCGACAACGGTAAAAAAACGGCCCTGCCGTTTCGAGTGCGTAAGCGTCTTTCTAGAGCCCTCCATACTGGCGGCGAGGTCCCGTGTGGAGATTTGGCACCAAGTCAGCTGTGTTCCTGGCAAGGTTTCTCTATCCTGCCGCGCCGCAAGAATCCTTAACTGAAAGAACTGAATTGGTTTCCCCTCCGGCACTCTTTTCGGCCTCCAGATGTCGCCAAGACAGCCATAGAACGGATGCAAGAAGCCCCCCCGGACCATCCAAAGACTGCTCAAAAAGCCCGAAACGGCATTTATAGACTCCCATAGAGGGGCCCGAGGAACCTCGAAGCGATCCCAAAAGGGTGCCCCACGAAAAGGCCCCCCAGCGAGGCCCGTAGAGGCACAAACCGTGTACAGCCTAAGAAAATCAAAGACTGGTTGCTCCCAGTGCCGTCCGGAATCAGACCAACTCGGCAAAGCTTCAGACAAACAAACCAACTATGGCACAACAACTTAACAACTTCACACAACGATGGCGCAAACCAACAAAGCCCAGAAAGCTTGAACAAACTACAACCATGGCACAGCACTTACCCAAGAGAGCACCCAGATGGCCCACAGACTGCCCCAGAAGCCTGCAAGGTGGCCTCAAGACCGAGGGAACGATGTCGAATTCAGGTCTCTTGCACTTTCAGACCGCGCGCTGACTTACCCTGGGACCGATTTAGCCCCCAAAACTTCAAAATCGGCCCGATATGCCCCAAAGAACAATTTAACATATGCTCCAAGAAACTTCCAGGAAAGCCCGAAAATGCTAACATTGTGAAGACCTTAGGGAAATCGAGGAATCGATTCCCGAGGCAGTCTGGCTTCGGATCGCCTCGGGAACGTGTCGGAGCCCACAGAGCCCAAAACACGGCCCACCACTGCCTTGAGACAGCACCCAGCTGGCCGTAAACTGCCCGAGATAGAGGGAAGAAAATCCCTTGACGAGATCCCTCCCTTGACGAGAACCCTCCGGGCCAGCCAAAGATGGCTCCGCGGTGTTCGACGTTAAGACACACGCTGGTTTAGACTGCGCACTGAACTGGCGTGGGTCTGAAACTCAATCTCCGTCACGCTGCGCTGCTGCGCTTGCACGGTGGCGTGGTTTGCCGCAGACAGCTGGATACTTCGCAGTTGCCTTATGTTGCTCCCATCGTACTTAAGGGCTACATCCCAGAAATAATGTTGAGCACCCCGAAGATTGTCGAAATGGTGTCGAACGAGTATCGCCTCCCAGGGCCTGGCAGGTGAAAACCCTCAGGCCTCGGTACTCGATTGGTGCTCGAATGTCTTTTCCTGGTGATCAAGGCTAAAATAGATTGGAACATCATAGGCCCAGGGGAGCGAAGAACGGCATCAACACAAAAACTCGGAAGTCCGCGCGGACTTCTTGGATCCGCGCTGGGGCCCCCTGGCGGCGCCTCCCGGCGCCGCCCTGGCGCGCGCTCCGCGCGCCACGGAGAGGGTTTCCAGCGCCGATCCCAGAAATCCGCGCGGACCTCCGAGTTTACCTTTTCATGCTTATGTCCTCCTTCCTTCCCCCAGTCCTGAAGGGTGCTGGTAATTCTTTATGGCGGTCAAAACTAAAGTTCGGCGGTGGACAAACCTCCCTTTTGCAAACCTCCCCTCAGCGAAAACAACCTGGGACCGAAACCGACGGACTGGGACCCGCAAAATCGACGGCCGCGACGCCCTCCCGCGAACAGAAAACGGCCAATTCTTGAAACGACGTGTCAGGGTTGGAGGTCAGTCCACCCCCGACGAGTAATGCGGGATGACGATTTATTGAAAAAATGGAAAGAACGATTAAAAAATAGTTGTCTGGTATTTATGCACAGTTTTCTGACTGGAAGGGAACGATTAAGAACATGGTTTTCCAACCCGCGGCCGGTTTTTTCTAATCGTCATCCCGGGCGCCGCCGCGTGAACACGACCCCCGGTCATTTATGAAACGTCATCCTCCATTAAGCTGGAACATCAGAACGCGTGCCCCGCCACTCGCACCAGAGGCGGCGTCTGCTGTCTCGGGCCTCCGGCTCCAGGGGGCGGGGGCCAAGCGGTCGGCCGACCAGCTCGGCCTGCCCCCTTTTGCCCGCGGCAGTCCAAAGACAACCCAGGATTGGGTCGGGCATGTCTCCCTCCAGGGGGATTATGGAAACGGAAAAATAATCAAAACATAATCCAAATTCTTTACGCTTCGCGTATCCCCACCAGCCCATCTCACAACAGCAACTCATGCGAAGCATGCCGACAGTCGTGTTTTTCAGGCGTGTGTCCGTTGGGCCCCGCATATCTCCCCTGTTCCTCCTTCCTCCCGCCTCCTTGTACATCCTCCTTGTGGGGGGAGCGGGAGAAGGACGAGGCGGAGGAGGAGGGAGAGAAAGCGCTCCTCGTGATTTGAGTCGT